TAAGGTGTTTTTTTTCTGTTAATTTTTCTCATGTCAGTTTAATTCTTAGGCCAACTAGGAGAGCCTTGAAGGGTAGAGGAAAATTTTTCCTTCCCACCAAGACCAATGAGGAATAAAATCTTTTGCTCTGTCTTTATTTTTGTTTTAAAGACATAAAACTAAACAGTGGATTTGTTTAGAAAAAGCCTTGCCCTTTGATTAGAATGATTGATACCTGAGTGAGTCATGGGAGTAGGAAAGAGTTTTTAGCTTTTCTGGATAAGATATTATGGGAGGAGCAGCTGGTACTTCAGATGATCCCAGGGTCACTTCAATTAAAGTCACAGGATCATAGAACTTCAAATATAGATGGCAGCTTTGAGGTCATCCTAGCTAGTCTAAACCTCCCCCACCCTTTTTTTTGACAAAGGGGGAAACTGAGATCTAAAGAGAAGAAAATCCTTAAGGTTACCAGGTAACAAGGAAATTAGGATTTGAGTGGTAGTAAAGGAAATAGAGCGATCGGAATCAGGTTGTGCTAAAATCAGGAATCTATGAGAACTTGCCATCAGGAATGGGAAACTGGAGCCAACTCTGATCAATGGATGGGGCTACTCAGAACACCTAAAACTGAGCAAGCTCATGATGGTCTGAACTTTCAAAGAAATAGTTCGAGAGTTGATTAGTGATGTCTGCCTTGGCACAGGAAAGGTGAGTACTGGCTATCTGCTGCTGTGTAAAGGACCAGGTCAAGAAGGCTGGGACCATGGTTACTTACCCCAAGAGTTTGAACCCGCAGGTTGGAATTTGGAGGGATGGTGAAGGTAGATTACCAGTGACAAAACAATGCCTAAACGTGCATACTGTTTTGGAACCTCAGTAACCTTGCAGAATGCAAACACACATACTTTATACAGGAGACACTTAAAGCAAAAATTCTGTATCCTGCCCCATATATTCCTTTAGCTCTTGCCTCATAGTACTAAAGTTGATTAGTCTCACCAGGGTCTCACTTTGCCCATATGGAAAATAAAGGTTTCAGGCCAGGTCAGAAATTCTCAAAAAGCATTCAGAGGAACAGTAATTCTGCAGGGTGATAGAAGCTATTATGTGGAATATAATAGGTTTCGAGGATCAATTTCTTTTGGAATATTGCTGGAAAAATATATTTTTAAACTGCAGGACTTCTCAGATCCTTTAATATAATAATTCACCATATAGTGACTTAGGTAGGCAATGTTGCCCCAAATTACTTGAAAACAGAAAATACTCCATGCAGGATAGTCTCAAGATCCTTCAGCTTCAAAATGCTATAATTCTTCACTGATTTCTTTGAGACTAGATAGACAGAGTGAGGCATAATCAGTGATTGGATAATTTTAGTTCTCTCCTGAGACCTGATACGGTGGTTGGTATTTAATCACAGTGTTAAGTGGCTCAAAGCAAGTAGCAACCATTGGGTCATTTCTTCAGTAGAGCATCTGAAGATAAATCAATTGGATTGAAAACAACTGAAAAAATTTGTTCCTTAAGACCAGACGAGGTCATTTCAGTTACTTCAATGATGTGACGATAAAATCAGTTGGCAAAATTGTTTTCAGAATAGTGTTCACTAGGGTTTTTTTTGGGCATAGTCTTTGTCAGCATAGCTGCTGTGAAAGTTTTCCATCTGCATGTCTTAAGTAGCAGAATCTTGCTCAGTGTCTTAAGCTCTGTGGCAAGTTTAGCTCTGCAGTGCAGGATGGGGTAAAGCTTCATGGTCATCACACACACATGGTAATAGTCTCCACCTGTGGCAGAGCTTTAGATGCCCAGCTCTAAATGGTTCTCCACACTAGGGAGATGTCCAGTCTCGGGCACCGACAGCTGCCTGTGTCTGTCATCACAGACTGTTCCTTCGAATGAAGGGCTGTCTTCTTTCTCTGCCTGATTGGTCTACCTTTCTACAAGTCTGCTTGTGAATAACTTCAAACTCTCCACTCCAGAAGCCTTCATCAAAGATGATTTCAGGGTCAGCACTGATATGCAAGAATGAAAGTACAGTGGTTATTAGCCAGGGCACCATCAGAATCATCCATGGAATTAGAACAAATAAACATGTTGGACCCCACCCCCTGGAGATTTTGGTGGAGAAGATTTAAAGTGGATGCAAGCATCTGTATTTTTAAAACCTCCACAGATACAACCCACATGTACATCAATAGGAGATTGGATACACAAGGTGTGATTTATTCATGCAATGGAGAGCTACTTAACAATAAAAAAAGAAAACGCTACTGTTACATGCAGCAATGTGGATGAATCTCCCAGACATTAGGCTAAGTGAAAAAAAAGCCAGTCACCAAAAAGCTACAATGTAGCTCCCCATCTATATGAAGTTTGAAAATAAGCAAAGCTACTATATATGGTGTCAGAAATTAAAATTGTGGTTTATGCTGGTGAAAGGTGGGATTAACAACAAAGGGACATGAGGGCACTTTCTGGGGGTGATAAAAATATTCTATACCTTGTTTTGAGTGATGGGGTACACAGATGCCTACAATTTCAAAACCTGAACAGAATCCTTAAGAGATGTGCATTTTACGGTATATAGTTTATACCTCATTTTAATAAAACAGCCTCACTTCCCTGTAAGTGTTCAAATTAGGGTCCTATACCAAAGTCCAAGAAATGATTATCACGCAAGGGAAGGGCCTACCTAGCTCAGCCCAGTTACAGCCTCAATAAACGAACACTCCCCTATTCTCTGCCTTATATCACACAAACCTCCATTTTTCATTTACCTTCCAGAATTTCTCCCATCCTTTGTCTTTAGGATAATAAAGCTCTGGAGAACTCGCCATACAACAGCCAGCTTAATAATAAACCTACAGGTCTCCAGGAACTGTGCCCCTTTCCTGTCTCCATTCCAGAGGCCACATCTCCATTCTTGGAAGAAGTCCCTTTCTTCTTAGGACATCTTGTAGGGAGCTCGTGTTTATTGGGCACCTACTAAGTGCTGGACCTTGTTGGCTTGTTTACCAAGGCTACTTAATTTTCTTTTCAACATAACCCTGAGAAATAGATATTTTTTTCTGTCCTCATTTTCCAGATTAGTAATTGAAAAGGGAAAATAAATGAGGCTAAAGGTGACATAGGCCGACAAGTGGAGGAGGCAGGGTTAGAGCAGGGTTAGAGTGACTGCAAAACCCCTTTAACCATTTTAAGGTCTCTTTCCTTTTAGGGCCTGAGGGGGAAAGCAGAGACCGCGATTGGAAGGAGAGAGACAGTTGAGTGTAAAACGGGCAAAGGTCATCACTTTGACGGTGCTTTTCATGTCTACTTGCCAGAAAAACCGGCCAGGCCCCACACACCCAGGCAGTCCTGTGCTCTTTGCCTCACCCCTGCTGGTAGCTTGGAGGCGGCAGCCTCAAGGCGACTTTTGTTTGGTATAACTTGGAAGCAATTGGGGGATGTAGATATGCCTTTACTTTTAGGATTCCGGCTCCCTGGGATCAGAGGAGTGGGTTCACAAACGGGGGTGGCGAGGCACAGGGAGAAGCGCTGGAGCAGATTCTGTGGTGTGTGTGTGTGGTGGCGCGCCTGTGCGTGGCGGGGGGATCGCTGTACCCGGCGCGAGGCACTGGGGGTGGGGGCGGGGGGAGGAAGCGGTAGCCGAGATCTGAATAATTGATTCTTCAGCCGCACCAGACGCCCGGGAGCGGGCGGAGAGCGTGGTTTCAGCACCACGGACAGCGGCGCGCGCCTCCGCAGGCGTCCCCGTCGCCAGCCGGCCGCCTATTCTGGCCTTGCAGCCGCCGTGCGCTCGGGGAGCGGGTGGCCGCGCTCCGCGCCGCCGCCGAGGGACTGCGGGGTCCGCCTCGGCCCACCTCCAGGGAGGGCGGCCGCGGGCGGGAGGCGCTTTCTCCCGCCGGAGCCCCAAGCCTCTCCGGCTTTCGCGGGGGCTGCTGCGTCTCGCCGACTGAGAACAAGTCCCTAAGTTGGTGTGGGGGCGCCCCTGCTTTCCTTCTCTTCCTCCGAGGCGACCGCAGCAGAAGCGCTCCCCGGGAGCCCAGCTCTGTCGGGTGCTGTGAACCAGGGTGGCCGGGGGCTCTTTGGCCTCCCGCCGCGCAGTGGGGAGCTGAACGCCCGTTGACGAGCTGGCCCGGCCGCGAAGGGCCCAGAGGGAGCTGCCTTCCCCCGCCCGCGCCTCTCGCCGCCGGGGACCGCGGGGATCCCCGGCCACACGCGCGCGCGCGCTCCCACACTCACTCACACACACTCGCCCTCACACACATCGGCCCTGAGCCTGGGCTGCGGAGAGGGCTCTCGGGGGGCGCGCAGAGGACCCGGCGTCTGCTGTCCGGAGCGGGGCAGGAAGCCGAGCGCTGGCTCTTAGGAGGGAGGCGCCGAGGGCTTAGCCGGAGCATGGGGCCGGGGGAGCGCTGAGAGTCGCGGCCGTAGCCATCAGCCCTGGAGATGACCAGGAGCGGCCACTGCTGAGAACTATGTGGAGAGAGGCTGCGGTGAGTGCTGGAGCGGGACGCGGGGCCTGGGCTGCCCCCTTTGGGAAGAGGACGGCGGGAGGCCTGGGTGGGAGAGGGCAGCAGGACTGCTAGAGGGTCGCTGCGTGGGAGTGATCGCACCTCCCTCGGGGATCCGGGACCACTGGAGCCCGAGTCCTTCCCTCCCCCTTTCCTGCTGCCGGCTCATCGCAAACTCAGCCAGCCTCCCCCCACTTATCCATCCCCTCCTCTTTCCCAGCCCTCCTCGCTCAGCAGCTCCCGGCCGCACAACTCCTAGCCGCCGGCGCCGGGGAGGTAGTCGTGGGTGAGGGCGGAGAAGCCCAGTTAGCTTCTCGTGGGGCTCGGTCCTCCTGTGCGCCCTGTAGCCGAGCTCTCCATATCGGCCGCGGGGTCTGAGGACCTGCACTGGGGCGGGGGGGGAGGTCTCAGACACCGAGCGTCAGCTACCCTTCTCCGGGCGAGCCCTCTGAGCACGGAGGGGCTGTGACCACTGCAGACTGCAGACTGTCCCCCCGCCCTACCCCCGCCCGTGAGCTGACCCTGCCTTTCCGTCTTTTCTCCGCCCCGGTAGAGCCCTGCTGCAGAGCCTCCGGCTGGGATAGCCGCCCCCCGTGGGGGCGATGCGGACAGCGCGGGACAGCCAGGGGAACGCGCGGGGGCCTCGGCATGCGGGAACCCGCTAAACCCGGTGGCTGCTGAGGCGGCCGAGATGCTCGTGCGCGCAGCGCGCCCCACTGCATCCTCGACCTTCTCCGGCTACAGGTACGTCCCAGCGGGAGACCTGGGCTCCACAGGCCCAGGAGGAGGAAGACTCGACCGGTGGGGAGAGCTGGAGAAGGGTCAGCGAAGACAGGGATAGCGGGAGAGGGAGCACCGGTAGCGAGGCGCGGGAGGAGCACCAGGGGGCGCTGCGGCTCCGCGCTCCGCGCTGCTCTTGGGAAGAGCGTCGAGGCCAGCGCAAGTTCTCCCCAACTTCCTCTGGCTCCCGCAGCGCCCGGCCCGAGGGCCTCGTGCCTGTGCACGCGTGCACGACTGTGCTGGTATTTGAAGGCACGCGTGGCTGTGCACCTGGCGCGGTACATGTGTGTGGATCCACTGCCGACCCGTGCGGACTCCGGATGGCCGTGGGCACAGCTACAGCGGTCTGCAGACGTGAGCAGAAGTGCCTGTGAGAGTGTGCGCCCACGGCCCACGTGTGCTAAGATTTGGTAACAGGACCCGAAGTGGAAAGCCTGGGGAGGGGCTGTGCAGTTCATGGCAGTCTGAGAGCTTCCTGGGAGCCCACCGTTCTCCCCACGCACGTTCCTTTGCCAGTTCCTACGCTCTGGCCCGCTGGGGGGACGTACCTCCTCTCCAGAATTCTGCATTGCACACGGCGCGCGTGAGAGGGTGTGTGTGTGTGTGTGTGTATTCGCGCGTGTAGGGGGCGGGTCCTGGCAATTGAGTGGAAATCGCTTCACTGCCCCTCGGTGTGAGGTGGGGCAGTCCTTTAATTCCCCCAGGGACCTCCGAAGCGAAGCTTGGGGCGCACAAGTGAGCGTCTTCACTCCCTGCGCTTGGGGTGTACGTTGCAGGAAAGGAGTGGGGTCTGTCTAGTGTGCCCAGTGGAAGCAGGTCTGTGAATAAGTCCAGCGGGTTCCAGGGGGCGGGGACAGCTAGTTTAGCGCCCAGCAGGGATGCGGGGTCGTGGCGCCGCCTCCGCACGCCATGGCTGGTTTGTAGTTCGCTGCTTGTAAGCAGGGGGCGGGGTCGGTAACTTGGTCTGCCCTAGCGAGGGTGGGAGATCCCCGGGTGAAGGGTTTGCTCTGTGCTCCTACACTTAGGGACTGTGGTCCTCAGCTAACTTGGGGGATGAGGAGGGAGGTATGGGCAGGGTCAGGCATGGAGAAGAGGCTGGAGACAGGATGAGAGTGAGGCTGGATGCGAGGAGGGACTTGGGGACTGGAATGGAGAGTTAGCTCGGATTGGAGTTGTGGACTGAGTTGGGAGATGGGATGTGGGTGGCGTCGGGGATGGGGAATGGAATCAGTGACTCCAGCGGCACCTGTATACTTGGGGGTGGGCTGTATCCTTGGCTGCTAGAGTAGGGGTCGGGGTCAGCAATCCCTTTGTCCCAGGACCCTCCCTCACTGCGGCCCTGACTCCCCTCTCCACCCTACAGGGACCGTAAGTGGCGACTATGGGCAGCCTGGGCTGTTGGACCTTGCTCATGCTGCCGGCCCTTCTGGTCTGGCGCGGTCCGGCGCAGGGTGCGGCGGCGGAGAAAGGTACCCCTGCGCTGAATGTCGCGGTGCTGCTGGGTCACAGCCACGACGTCACCGAGCGCGAACTGCGAAACCTGTGGGGCCCAGAGCAGGCAGCTGGGCTGCCCCTGGACGTGAACGTGGTAGCACTGCTGATGAACCGCACCGACCCCAAGAGCCTCATTACGCATGTGTGTGACCTCATGTCTGGAGCGCGCATCCATGGCCTAGTGTTTGGGGACGACACCGACCAGGAGGCCGTGGCACAGATGCTGGATTTTATTTCCTCACAGACTTTCATCCCCATCCTGGGCATCCACGGGGGCGCATCCATGATCATGGCTGACAAGGTAACGCCTGGGGGATGGCTGGGGTGCAGTGACCTGCGAGTGCGCCAATCGGATGGGGGCTAGTGCAGGTCTTCATGAGCCTCTGGCATCTGTCTTGATCCGAAAGGGACATGGCCTGGTGAGAAATGCGTGTAAAGGCTTTTTGCCTTGGTACTCAGAGGCACTTTGCATGTGCTAAGAAGAACTTGGAAAATGCAGGAGAATAATGGGGTGGTAGAATGCTTGGAGATTTCCAGGGAGTACACAGAGGCTTGCCTGGGGGCACTTGAAGCAATATGGCTCATGTGTCTGTAAGATCAATTGTACCTGATCGTTTTGTGGAACATGTCCATTTTTTTTCCCCTCTCGTGGCCACCAATCAAAACTATTTTAAAAAAGATTAAACTTAGGTATATGGTATGTTATGGAATAAAATGCAAAGTTTTTAGGTAAAGTACAAAAGGGCAGAAAAACGTCATGCTTCTGGAGACGTTTTGTAATTAGGGGGAGAGGGATGGAAAGTTTCAGAAGCCCTGGTCTAGAGGCACACAGGAGGGTGCTTCTCTAAGGGAGTGGGTGTGAGTGGGGAGGAGAATTGACTGCAGACAGAGAGCATGGGGGGCCTGGCATTTTCCTGCATGTTCCTGAGTGGAGCTGGTGGGCTCCAAGGGCCTCAGTTGGAGGGGTGGGCTCCCAAGGACAGGTTTTGGTAGCGAAGGCAGAGAATGTCAGAAGGAAGGAAGGTGTGCCCAGATCCTTGGCTTAGAATGAGAGGTTCTTCTGTGGACCAGCTGGGAGTGTTGGTTTGGCGAAGAGGAGAGAGACTTGAAAATTTGAGTGAAGATGTCAGGAGGGACTGGTTTGAAGATTCTGCAGCAGTGGAGGGATGCAGCCAGATTGGAAGCGAGAAGCAAAGTGAGGAATCCAAAGAACACGGCTGTGTCTCCACATATGCCCAGGGAAGGACTGGGGGTGGGGGTCAAGAAGGAGAGGAAAGGGTGCGTGTACATGTGTGCCATCGTTCCCGCGGCCCTGAGACCTTCCTGGAGCATGTTCCTTAGAGAGCAGGGGACATCCTAATGGAGTGAGTTGACATTTGTCATAGCACTTTCCTTCTGACACTCTCAGAATGCTTTGATATTCATCAAATCAGATTCTGCCGGTACCTCAGCCATTCCCATTGGCTCCTTTGGGAACCGTATTAATTCTCTCAGGTCTCCTGGGCTGCAGCACATTCAGCAGAAGTACACAACCAATGCGGTATCTTATTAAACATTCATTTTCAGTGGTTTGCAGCCTAGGAGAATTGTGTGGTGGAGCATTTTCCCAGCCACCTCTCAGTGCTGGGGCTCCTTTCTGGGATGAAAAAGCAGGGAAGAGCTGTCCCCTGCCACCACTGTGTGGGCCATTGCAGGACTGGAAAGGGCCTCAGTGTCTACTCCGAGCATCCTGCAACTCTCAGATTAAGTGACTGAGTCACAGGGCAGTTCATGACTTGGCCTAGACCACGCAGTGGGTGATGGAGTTGCATCTCTGCTTTTCTACTCCCGAGTTTGATCTCACATTCCCCAAATTGAGCCCATCCTTTAACTCTGTCATCTCATATTCAGGAGGATCAAGGAATCCGTCTTATTTTAGAGGGCTGATCCATGGGGAGGTGCAGCAGTCAGAGCCTGGGGGACTTGTGTGTAAGAAGTGACCAGCTATAGGATAATGGCATGAAGAATAGCAGTTTTCCACAGGGCTTTGGAGTGTGATTTTTGGGATCTAAATATTACCACTGATCCCTCCTCCCTTCTGAAGAAGGAAGGAGCAGTGCACAAAAACAGTAGTCATATAGAAAATGAAATTTCTGGATTGACTAGGGCCCAGCACAATCGATGGAGAAATCTGGTAAAAGCTGAATTGGAGAAGGTGGCTTGAGGCTTAGGCTGGGAGGTTTGATCTGACAGGTGTATGGCTCAGGTTCTTACTTGACTTACCTATCTGACTGTATGCGAAGAAGCAGGAACAGAGAATGGGCTCATAGTTGAGCACCCTGTTGATATACAGAGACCCTGCCCACTATGAATGGCAGGCTATGATCTCCTAGACTAGTAGCTGCTCCTCCCTTGCAGAATGAAATGTCTTATGGGAATTAGGCAAGAGTATAACCCCACTTAAGAGTAAAGAAGAAAAAGGGAAGCAGGAAATGTAAGAGGAAGATGAGAAAGGACATCTGCAGAGATGCCAAGATTAGCGATCTAAGAGGAGACCCAGGGGAGAGGTTGAAAGGGTCTATTGGCTCAAAAATGGGGGAGGGAATTGGGTACACCTCATTATTGTTGGGGCGTTCGGAGTCGGTCTCAGTGGCAGGGCATCAAAGAAGTCAGTGGTGATGATGGTGGGATGTACGCCACCCCCATGTGTGGGATGTGCAGGTGATGTTGAGGGATGCTGGGTTAAAGGGTGGTATTTGAGAAACCTGGCTGTGTTAAAAAAGGAAAGAGACTGTGTGAGATGCTAACAGCCTTTCTTTCTATTAGTAACACATCTAGTTGGCTGGTGCCTTTGCCACCTGTTTTGGAGCTGAGCTCCGAGTGCAGTGGGTTTGGCTTTGAAGAAGTAGCCATGGGACGTTGCCTAAAACTCCACCTTGCTTGGTAGGGTGTGCCAGTGGTGTTATGGCCGCAGTCTGAATGTCCCCCAACTGACAAGGCCTCTCTGTCTTCCCCTAAGATGACATTCACTTGCTAAAGCCCAGAACAGAACCTGTGTTTGCTTTCACTTCTATATTGGTAACATGGTGGTGCCCCTCTGGATAAAAATGGTACTTATTTGATGATCATGTAAATTGCAACCCCCTCTCCCCTCACCTCCATTTTTACCTTTCCTTCAGTCTGCTTGACTCTTGGAAAAAGGAACAAAGCTTTATAATAATTGAAATGTTTTAAGTGGCAGATTTTTGTGGTGTTAATTTTGCTTCTGTCAGTGGGTGGTCTTGAAATGTGATTAATTTAGAGGTGAAAATAATGCTTGATGTAGATAATCACTAATAGTATCTTGGTTGGGCCATTTTCATACTGTTTAAATGACACACAGTCTGGTTGCAGTAACAGCCCCCAGTAAATCAGTGAGCCTCTGCTCCCTGTCAGTACCTCCTTCTCCTTTCCCCTCTTATTCCTCACTGCTCCATGTGGGAAAACCAAGGCTTGGGTTTTAGCTGCCTCTGTCCGTGTTGGTTACTGTGTGGGGTTTGCTTTCTGTGTTATTTCTATACATATCTCATCTCTTCTACTAGAGTGTAAGTTCCTTGAAGACTGACTTTTGAAAGAGTGTGTGCATATATTTATTCAAAATCATTGTATTCCTCTTTCAGACAGTTTATAAAAATAATGTCTTTTCACTATAGAGCACTTAGAAAGTACATTAAAGTTTAAAGAATAAAATAAAAGTCTCTCTGTAAATCCTATCACCAGGAGTAACCAGTACTGACACTTGGGTCTCTTTCTTTCTAAGCTATAGCTAGTTATCAGTTCATTATTGTACTGTATATATGTTTTTGTTTATTGTACCTCTGTTTTTAATTCTTTATTTCTTTGTGCTATGTTTGGGAAGGGTTCCTTAATGTCTCTAATTTTCTAGTGAACCAGCCTTTTTTCTTTTGCCTGTCGAATTTTTAATATAAGTGGTTTTAAATGAGTTTTAAATGGTTCACTTTATTTCCAAGGTAATTAATTGATCCCTTTTCATACCTTTATGCTTTTTTTTTATAAAGAAACTCTCACTTTGTGAATGTAAATCCCTCTTCTGTCCCTTTGAGAATTTAAAACATTACAAATAAGTCCTTCTCTGATTAGTGTCTTTGTTTCTTCAGGTGTGAATTCTTCCATTTTGTAGACTCTTATCACTGAACGTCCTCATATATTTTCTAATTTTTGTCTGTGAACCTATTTTCAAAGCAATTTTGTGGTTTCTTCTATCCTACATCTGTAAGGGTGTGTGCTTTTACACCAGAGCTCATGTCAGTACCTCAGTTCAGAGCTCTTGTCTTTTCTACATATCCTATGGTGCAGACCGAGGTCCCAGTCTCATGTGAGTGAGTTCATTTTGTCTCCTTGATACAGAGAGGGGCATCCTTTTTGGCTGTGACTCATAGCGGATAGTGCAGATATTTCAGCCTTATTCACAGCTAGCGGCATGGTTCTGTGTCCAGTTTTTCCCCTTATCCCCTGGGTAGATGTTAGGACCTCTGCTTGCATGGCTCCTATTGGGTCTATCTGCACCATGGACCATGTGGCTTTGATTCCTGTTTGAAGTTGTAGACTCCCATCTTTTGATTCATTTATTTTTAGGGAGTCCTCTCTATTTTTGATTTGTGATTCCCTTTTCTTATTTCCAAGAACTACTATGTGAATTTCAAAATAAATATCTAAAGATTTACCTGTAAATTCTATGTCTTAGGACCAAAAGAAGAAGGCTCCTGACTGTGCACACTCTGATTTTAACCCAGTTATATTTCACAACCTGATTTTATTTTTTCAAACTTGATTATATATTCTTGGAACTTGCTCTTATTAAGTAGACTTCTCAAACATGATTTTAAGTGGCTGCAGAGTATTCTGTTTTACCACAATTATTTTAACTGTTCATCTACTTCTCCACCTTTAGTAAGGTTGATTTCTGGTCCACAGGTGTGTTATTTTTGCCACTTTATGCTGATCCTACCCTTTGCATTTTTTTCTTGGTAAATGTTTGATTGAATGAATCAAGTTTTTGGTTCCAGTGCCAGCTTGCTGCATTTCCGGAGGAACTTACCACACCGTGGTTCAGTGTTTTCCATGCAGTGTTCATTCCCTAAATGCCAACTGATTTCCTTGGTGTGTGCCAAGTCTCCTCTTCTTTTTAGTGGGTGGATCATTACTAGCCATCCTGGGATTAAAAGAAATTGAGGGGTTCCTTATCAAAAGGCCCATGCAGTGCTGCTGAGGAGCAGCTCATCAGAAGGAGGTGGATTTTGGTGCTTTTGTACCCTGGTAGCT